AAAAAAATTAGTGTAGAAAAATCAGTAACATTTCTATATATGAATAATGTCCAAACTGAGAGCCAAATCAAGAATGCAATCCCATTGGCAATAAGTACACACACACACACACACACACACACACACACACACACAAAATACCATCTAAACAACAAGGTTAAAGATATCTATAAGAAGAACTACAAGACACTGCCGAAAGAAATCAGGACAATACAAGAAAATGGAAAAACATTTTATGCTCATGGACTGGAAGAATCAGTATTGTTAAAAATGGTCATACTGCCCAAAGCAATCTATAGATGCAATGCTATTCCTATCAAACTACCAATGTCACTTTTCACAAAATTAGAAAAAACTACTCTAAAACTCATACAGAACAAAAAAGAGCCTAAATAGCCAAAAGCAATCACAGGCAAAAAGAACAAAGCTGAGGCATCATATTACCTGACTTCAAACTATACTATAAGCCTACAGGAACCAAAACAGCATGGTACCAGTACAAAAACAGACACAGAGACGAAACGAAAAGAGAACCCAGAAATAAAGCTGCATATATCTACAACCATCTGATCGTCAACAAAGTCAACAATGACAAGCAATGGGGAAAAGCCTCCCTAAACTATAAAAATCCTAGAAGAAAACCTAGGAAATGCCATTCTGGATACTGGCCTTGGCAAAGTCCTCAAAAGCAACTGTACCAAAAACCAAATACACAATTGGGAACCAATTAAAGAGCTTCTGCACAGCAAAAGAGACTATCAACACAGCAAACAATCTACAGACCTTTGTTGGATGCACCATTTGTGAATATATTTTTGTAAGTATTTACAACTTCACAAATATTCACAAACTGTGCATCCAACAAATATCTAATATCCAGAATCTATAAGGAACTTAAACAATTCAACAAGCAAAACACAATCCCACTAAAAAGTGTTAACACACATTAACAGACATGTCTCAAAACAAGACACACAAAATTAGCCAGGCAAGGTGGCACATACTTGTAGTCCTAGGTACTCTGGAAGGGATAAACAAATTGCTTAATTTTTCCTAACCTAACCTCGTACTCTCTCTCTCTCTTTTTTTTTTTTTTAAGAAATTTTTGTTACCTCTGAAAATAACTGGTCAGAAAAGTATAAATATCTAAACCTGGGGTTAGAGCACCCTTAACATGGTCTGTAGATGGAACATGCCTGTGTATATATTGAAGAATGCCCTCCACAATGACAAATAGTATCGTTACTGGAAAGAACATAGCTTGAGGGTCAAGCAGAAGCCTGGGTCCATGACTGTGTGACTGAACCTGTTAGCTTCTTCTTGCATAAAATGAAAATAATACAATTAGACCAGGTGTGGTGGCTCATACTTGTAATTCCAACATTTTGGGAGGCTGAGAAGGGAGGATTGCTTGAAGCCAGGAGTTCAAGACCAGCCTGGGTAATATAGTGAACCTTAAGCTCATAAAAAAATTGTTTTTAATTAGCCAAACATAGTTTCATGACTTATAGTCCCAGTTACTCAGGAGGCTGAGATGGGATGATCTCTTGAGCCCAGGAGTTCAAGATTATAGTGATCTGTGATTGGACCACTGCACCTGGGCCTGGGTGACAAAGAGAGACTCTGTCTCTAAAATAAATAAACACACAAACTCAGTTGTCATAAACTCAACTGTTTCTATGTATGTATGTATGTATGTATGTATGTATGTATGAACTCATGGATTATTGATGGCACTTGAGTTCCAAGTATCCTTTATCTGTCTGAGTTTTTTAAAAAGCAGAGCAGAGTTTTATATAAATTCTAACTCCCTGTTGAGATTCTCCATTTTTTGAGTTATTGCTATAACCCTTTCCTTTAATTCTTTATACATAGTTTATTTAGGTCTTAGAAGCTATTTATGATAGCTGCTTTAAAATCCTTGTCTGTAAAATTTAACATCTGGAGACAATAAGCTACGATTTCTATTGTCTGCCTTTTGATCACTGCCACAATTTCCTGTCTCTTGGCATGTGTCATAATTTTATATTTAAAAATAGACATTTTATAAACTATGGTATAACAACTTTGGATTCTATGAAATTGGTCTTCCTCTGCAATGTGCTAGTTGCTGATTTCTCTGCTCAGTTTTATTATTTCTTTTATTCTTGCTTTACTTTAAAGTCTGACTTTCAGGGTCTGGCCATGTATCTATGTATCTTAGTGGGTAGCCAACTATTCAACAGAGGACTTGCTCAAATACCCCAAGTCAGCAAAAGTTGTTTTCCTTTGCCAAAGGATCTGCACATCTACCCAGATTTTTCTTTCCCCTGGACCCTTTTTCATGTTTCCTCTGCATCCACAGCTAATCATTATCTTAGGCTAAAAGAGCCACTGGCTCTCAAAGCACACATGCCACCGAAACAGTAATTTCTGCAGACAACACTGGTAGGCATATGCAATACCTGCCACTCAGATATGAGTGAGAATTTTCCAAGCACAGCAGGTAAGGTACTACTCTTCACAACCTTTCTAACCCTGGAAGATCCTCTACACCAACTAATCAACCAACCAAACTTAGAAGAAGGAAAGTACAGAATGGGATGGGAGCAGCTGCAGGCATGAATGCCACAGATTCCCACTGTGGTTGTGCAAAGATTAGCAGTTTTTCAAGCTTAAACACTTTTCAGATTATTATATGCCTTTGGGTGAGTTTCAGAGTACTGCAATAGTTGTTTTCCCCTATTTTGCAGATGCCATTAAATCTAATTCACAAACTCTTAACTTTTTTTTTTTTTTGAGACAGAGTCTCTCTCTGTCTACAGGTGGGAGCACAGTGGCAGGATCTCGCCTCACTGCAACCTCTGCCTCCTGGGTTCAAGCGATTCTCCTGCCTCAGCCTCCCGAGTAGCTGGGACTACAGACACATATCACCATGCCCAGCTAATTTTTTTTTTTTTTGCATTTTTAGTAGAGCCAGGGTTTCACTGTGTTACCCAGGATGGTCTCGAGCTCCTGACCTCGTGATCCGCCTGCCTCAGCCTCCCAAAGTGCTGGGATTATAGATGTGAGCCACCTCACCTGGCCTTTTTTTGTGGGGGGGGACAGTCTCACTGTCACCCAGGCTGGAGTGCAGTGGAACAATCTCAGCTCACTACAACCTCTGCTTCCCAGGTTCAAGCAATTCTCATGCCTCAGCCTTCCAAGTAGCTGGTATTACAGGCGCAGGCCCCCACACTGGGCTAATTTTTGTATTTTTAGTAGAGACAGGGTTACACCTTGTTGGCAAGACTGATCTTGATCTCCTGACCTCAAGTGATTTGCCCGCCTCAGCCTCCCAAAGTGTTGGGATTACAGGCGTGAGCCACTACACCCAACTCACAAACTCTTACCATTCTTAAATGTATTTATTTCAGTTTCTCTTCCACTACTATATTACAAACTACTCTGGCAGTACTTCTTACTCTTTTACATCTACTGCAATATTTCTCATTCCTTAAGACCTAACCTATGCTGCTCCTTCTCCATGAGGCTTTTTCTCATTAATTCATGTACACCGAGCTGTCCCTTCTCTGAATTCCTATCATGCATCATTATTTCATAATTATTTTGCATGTGCTGTACTTTTTCTTTTCAACCACATTCATAAATCTTTGGGAAAAGAAACTGGGTTTTCATGATTTTGTATCCTTATCCCATACCTGGCAAAGTGCTGAGTATACAGTAAATTCTCAAAGGCTTTATGTCTCAAAAAATTTACACTTGAGGCCAGGCACGGTTGCTCACACCTGTAATACCAACACTTTGAGAGGGTGAGGTGGGCAGATCACGAGGTCAGAAGACAGAGACCATCCTGGCCAACATAGTGAAACCCAGTCTTTACTAAAAGTACAAAAAACTTAGCTGGGCATGGTGGCACACACCTGTAGTCCCAGCTACTCAGGAGACTGGGTCAGGAGAATTGCTTGAACCCAGGAGCCAGAGATTGCAGTGAACTGAGATCATGCCACTGCACTACAGCCTGGGAAACAGTGTGAGAATCTGTCTCAAAAAAGAAAAAAATCTACACTTGAAGAAATGTGTCTTGTAGCCTATGAAGTCAAACAATACCACTAGGAAACAATAACGAAGACTCCATGACCTAACCATGGTTTTTTTTGTAGTTGTAGTAGTAGTATTGAGAAAAAAAATCTTTATTATTTTAAATTACCAGGCCCAGAGAGAGACATTTAAACGGGACAGCAAACACACACACTTTTGAGTCATATACTTACCTCTTGAAACCTAATAATTCCTCACCTATTATTAGGTTAATGTATAGCTACAATGTTATATTATTAACACGTCATTCCCTTCTCCAATGCCACATAATCTGAAGTGTACACTGTTTACTAAAAGCATGGGACAGAGACTGCTAGTAGCCAACCTAATATCTATTTTGATCATTTTCCTTACTAACAAAACCTTAATCATTTCCCAGCTTTCCCTGAAGCTAGAAGTTCAATTTGAGAAAATGCAACAACTGGAAAGATATTTCTATTTGTTCACAGTATTATGGTAAGAAATAAAAAAGAAAATTCAGGCAAAACATTTAGAACAATGTCAGGCACATGCTATAGTATCAATAAATGTCATTTACTGTTAATAATAATTATTATATAATAAAAATAAGTTATTATTACCACCCAGTGGTAACTTCTAATCCAGTGTAAAAAGGCCATGATAAGCGACCATATTAGAAACACTAAACTAGAAAATATTTTTCTCAATGTGAGGGTATATTCTAATCTATTCCTGGCTTTATTTTGGATCCTACTATCACCCTGCATATGAAAAAACAGCAGAGAAAGCAGTTTAGTGACTGAGTCACAGGAAACCCTAAATATGTTTTACTTCCTCCTCCTTCTCTCTTATGAGAGCTTAATCTTATGGTTCCAAAGATTTTATAACATCAAAGTTCGCCCTCTGGAATAATACAAATTTGTAATAGGTGATGCAAAGAATTTTTAAAATTTCCTTACCCAGAAGATCCAATGCTCTTACAAACACCAAGGAGGGGTCTTTTTTCAGCAAAGTTATCACATTTTTGAGCACCTGATAAGGAGGATAAAATAAACTGTAAGCTTTGAGAAATATCGTTACATATACTTCCCACTATTTTTGTGCTTTCAAAATACTTGAAAAAGAAAAATACTCATTTTTAAGTTGATATAATATATATAATTTACTGAATAAAAAGTAGAAAAGCTACTACATATTACCATTATATATTATATGTGTAATCATTTTAAAAAGTTAATCAGGCTGGGCACAGTGGCTCATGCCTGTAATCCCAGCAATTTGGGAGGCTGAGGTGGCGGATCATGAGGTCAGGAAATCGAGACTATCCTGGGTCAACATGGAGAAACCCTGTCTCTACTAAAATACAAAAAAAATTAGCCAGGTCTGGTGGTGAGTGCCTATAGTCCCAACTACTCAGGAGGCTGAAGCAGAGGAATCGCTTGAACCTGGGTGGCGGAGGATAACGTGAGCTGAGATCGTGCCACTGCACTACAGCCTGGGTGACAAAGCAGGACTCCATCTCAAAAGAAAAAGAAAAAAAAGGCCGGGCACAGTGGCTCAAGCCTGTAATCCCAGCACTTTGGGAGGCCGAGGCAGGTGGATCACGAGGTCAAGAGATCGAGACCATCCTGGTCAACATAGTGAAACCCCGTCTCTACTAAAAATACAAAAAAAAAAAATTAGCTGGGCATGGTGGCACATGCCTGTAATCCCAGCTACTCAGGAGGCTGAGGCAGGAGAATTGCCTGAACCCAGGAGGCGGAGGTTGCGGTGAGCCAAGATCACGCCATTGCACTCCAGCCTGGGTAACAAGAGCGAAACTCTGTCTCAAAAAAAAAAAAAAAAAAAAGTTTAAAACAAAAAAAATTTTTAAGTTAATCAGAGGGTTCCAACAAACAAACACACACCACAATCAAAGCACCTCACAATAAAGTTAAAAATCAACAAATAAACCGGGCACAGTGGCTCACACCTGTAATCCTAGCACTTTAGGACGCCGAGGCAGATGGATCACCTGAGGTTAGGAGTTCAAGACCCGCCTGGCCAACATGGTGAAAACCCGTCTCTACTAAAAATACAAAAATTATCCAGGTGCCTGTAATCCCAGCTACTCAGAAGCCTGAGGCATGAGAATCGCAGTGAGCCCAGACAGTGCCATCATACTCCAGCCTGGGCTACAAGAGTGAAACTCCATGAAAAAAAAAAAAAGTCAACAAACAGATATGCAGTGTTTCAATTAGCCTTTCAGTTTGCCACTGACAATCATGTGCCAACAGTCAAGGATTAAGTCATTTGGAAAGTAATACTACATGGGAAGAACACATTAAAAATTTAAAATTGTCATTAATCATTTCCATGATGTAATAGAAGATACTGCAGACATGAAACAAAATAAGAATACAATAAAAAACAAATAGGTTTGGAGAATAAAAGAGAGCTTCTTGAAGAATGATAAAAACAAGGTATATATTATTTTTTTTTAAAATGGAGTCTCACTCTATCGCACAGGCTGGAGTGTAGTGGCCCAATTTCGGCTCACTGCAACCTCCGCCTCCCAGGTTCAAACGATTCTCCTGCCCCAGCCTTCAAAGTAGCTGAGACTACAGGCATGTGCCATCACGCCCAGCTAATTTTTGTATTTTTAGTAGAGATGGGGTTTCACCATTTTGGCCAGGGTGGTCTCAAACTCCTGACCTCAGGTTATCTGCCTGCCTTGGCCTCCCAAAGTGCTGGGCTTACAGGCAGGTATATATTAAACTCAATACAAGAATCAGAGGCAAATTTAACAAGGCTACAGTAATCAAAACAGCATGGTACTGGCACCAAAACAGAAATATAGACCAATGGAACAGAACAGAGGCCTCGGAGGCAATACCACACATCTACAACCATCTGATCTTTGACAAACCTGACAAAAACAAGCAATGGGGAAAGGAGTCCCTGTTTAATAAATGGTGTTGAGAAAACTGGCTAGCCATGTGCAGAAAGCAGAAACTGGACCCCTTCCTGACACCTTACACTCAAATTAACTCCAGATGGATTAAAGACTTAAACATAAGACCTAGCATCATAAAAACCCTAGAAGAAAATCTAGGCAAAACCATTCAGGACATAGACATAGTCAAGGACTTCATAACTAAAACACCAAAAGCATTGGCAACAAAAGCCAAAATAGACAAATGGGACCTAATCAAACTCCACAGCTTCCGCACAGCAAAAGAAACAATCAGTAGAGTAAATCAGCAACCAACAGAATGGGAAAAAATTTTGCGATCTACCCATCTCACAAAGGGCAGATATCCAGAATGTACAAAGAACTAAAACAGATTTACAAGAAAAAAACAAACAAGCCCCTTCAAAAGTGGGAGAAGGATATGAACAGACACTTTACAAAAGAAGGCATATATGAGGCCAGCAAACATATGAAAAAATGCTCATCATCACTAGTCATTAGAGATATCATCTCATGCCAGTTAGAATGATGATCATTAAAAAATGTGGAGATAAGCCGGGCGCGGTGGCTCAAGCCTGTAATCCCAGCACTTTGGGAGGCTGAGGCAGGTGGATCACGAGGTCGAGAGATCAAGACCATCCTGGTCAACATGGTGAAACCCCGTCTCAACTAAAAATACAAAAAACTAGCTGGGCGTGGTGGCGCGTGCCTGTAATCCCAGCTACTTAGGAGGCTGAGGCAGGAGAATTGCCTGAGCCCAGGAGGCGGAGGTTGCGGTGAGCCGAGATCGCACCGTTGCACTCCAGCCTGGGTAACAAGAACGAAACTCCGTCTCAAAAAAAAAAAAAAAAAAAAAAAAAAAATCTGGAGATAACAGATGCTGGAGAGGATGTGGAGAAATAGGAACACTTTTACACTGTTGGTGGGAGTGTAAGTTAGTTCAGCCATTGTGGAAGACAGTGTGGCGATTCCTCAAGGACCTAGACATAGAAATTCCATTTGACCCAGCAATCCCATTACTGGGTATATATCCAAAGGATTATAAATCGTTCTACGCTAAGGACACATGCACGCAACTGTTCATTGCAGCACTGTTTACAATAGCAAAGACCTGGAACCAACCCAATGCCCATCGATGATAGACTGGACAGGGAAAATGTGGCACATATAAACCATGGAATACTATGCAGTCATAAAAAATGATGAGTTGGTGTCCTTTGTAGGGACATGGATGAACCTAGAAACCATCATTCTTAGCAAACTGACACAAGAACAGAAAATCAAACACCATATGTTCTCACTCATAGGTGGGTGTCGAACAATGAGAACACATGGTCACGGGGAGGGGAACATCACACCCTGGGGTCTGTAGGGGGGAAGTAGGAGAGGGACAGCAGAGGGTGGAGAGTTGGGGAGAGATAGTATGGGGAGAAATGCCAGATATAGGTAACGGGGAGGAAGGCAGCAAATCACACTGCCATGTATGTACCTATGCAACAATCTTGCATGTTCTTCACATGTACCCCAAAACCTAAAATGCAATAAAAATAAAGAAAGAAGGGAAAGAAAATTTCCCAGACAGAAGAGCAAAAACACAAGAGAAGAAAAAAGCATCTTTATACACACACAAGAAACTGAAAGGGATGGGCTCAATGTTCCAATACATAGATGACAGAAGTTCCAAAAAGGGACCAGAGAAAATAGGGAGAAAATCACCCATGAAATAATTCAAAAAGTTTCACCAGAACAAAAAACTATGATTTTATCAGCTTCTTCAGGTTCTAGCACAGTAGATGAAACAGGCCAATATCAGAGTATATTGTTTCAAGACAGTGATAACAAAGAAAAGTTTCTAAGAGCTACCAGAGAAGAAACAGATTCTTATAGGATCAGCAATTCAAGTGGTTGCTCCAGGTATTAAATGATACAACTTAACACAAAATCTTTCAGCTTATATCATACAAACTGAATGCTTTTCCTCTGAGGTCAGATATAAAGCAAGGATGTCCACTTTCACCACTGTTTGTCAATAGAGTACTAGAGGTTCTACGCAGTACAATAAGGTAGCAAACAAAGTAAAAGTCACACAGATCAGAAAGGAAGAAATAAAACTCCTATTTACAGATAACCTGATTGGTCACATAAAAATCCAGATGAATCAACAAATAAAACTCAAGAAAAAAATATACTAGAGTAAGTTAGTTCAGCAAGTCACAGGCTATAAGATCAGCATACAAAAACACATACTACCATGAACACATGAAAATTGAGATTTAAAGTACAGGAGCATTTATACTTGTTCCAAAGAAACTTAAATACTGAAGTATAAATCAATTAAACATGGACAGGACTTATGTACTGGAAACTACTAAATGCTGATAGAAGAAACAGACAACCTAACTATATGGAGATATATAACTGATATAAAGTTTAATGCAATTCCTACCAAAACTCCAGCAAGATTTTTTGCAGTTATAAACATGAGTATTCTAAAATTTGATGGAAAGGTAAGGGAGCTAGAATAGCTAAAACAAGTTTAACAAAAGAAGAAAATGGAGGAAATCACTCTAACATATTTCAAGAGTTATATAACTACAGTAAATACGAGTTAGTGGTACTAGCAGAGGAATAGACAAATAGATTAAAGGAAGAAAAGAAAACACAGAAATAGACCACACAAATATGGCCAAATGATTTTCTTTACAAAGGTATAAAGGCAATTCAATGGAGGAAGAATAGTCAACAAATGACCTTGAAACAACTGGATGTCCATTAAAAATAAAAAAAAACTAAATCTCACATTTATCCCGAATTAACACAAAATTGAGCATAGATTTAAATGTAAAACTATACCACTTTTAGAAGAAAATCTGTAGGATACAGTGTTTGATGAAGTCTTACACAAGATACCATACAGTATAATCCATAAGATAATTTTAAAAATCAATTAATTGGATTTAATTAAAATTATAAATTCTGTTCTATCAAACACCATGATAGGAGAATGAAAGCACAAGCTACAACCACACTTGAAAAAATACTTGCAAACAACGTATCTGACAAATGACTTAAATCTCGA